AAACACCACACAACCCTATGGGTGCGCAGTATTCACCACGTATCCTCACTGCACAGGTGAGGGAAGTGGGGAGGGGATGCCTGGCTTCTCACATGCAGGCCAGTGGGCTGTCTGTGATGTACCATGGCCTACCCCTCTTCCTGTCCAGCTCTCGAGACTGAGCGCCAGCACATAGCTCCTGCGTTTGCACTTTAGCTTAATTTGGAAGGAACTCATGTCATAATGTTCTCCATTGTCAGCTGAGCTTCTGCCAGGACAGGGGCACTCAGGGCACGCTGATCCCTTTAGGGTCCCAGCCCCCACCCAGAGCAGTAGACATCCTTCCTGAGCAAACCTGAACCAAACTGATGCTGGGGAATCCTGGCTTTCTTCCAGTTAGGGAAGTGGGACACCCGTTCCTAGGGAGCTGCTATGGACTGAATTTTGTCCCCCTAAATTCATATGTTGAAGCCCTAACCCACCATGTGACTGTATTGAGATATGGGGCCTATCAGAAGGTAATTAAGGTTACATGAGGTCAGAGGGTGGGGCCCCGATCCCATAGGATTAATGTCCCATTACGAAGACACACTAGAGAGTGCTCTCTGTGTGCATGCACCAAGGAAGGGCCATGTGAGGACACAGCAAGAAAGAGGTTGTCTGCAAGCCAGGAAGAGAGGCCCCCCAGAAACTGGCCCTGTTGGACTTTGATCTTGGACATCTGGCCTCCAGAATTGTGAGAAAATAAATTTCTTTTTTTTAAGCCATCCAGACTATGGGCGTCTGTTATGGCAGCCTGAGCAGATTAATACAGGAGCCACCATGAGATTGGCCAGTGTGGCCTGGTCCAGGGATCCAGGCTCTGGGGCCTCTGATTCTGAGGACAGTGGTCCCTACTGTGGTTCCTTGACCTAGAGCTGCAGGCCTGGGCAGGCACCTGCCTGTTCTCATCCATGGCTTGCAGTGCTCACTGAGCATTTATAGTTTAGCCTTTGAAGGCTCCCTGGAAATGGGTTTTGCTTTTCTCCCACAAGTTGCTAATCTTCCCTAGAGATCATGTTGAAGCCTGCAATAAAGCCTCCTTCCTCGAACCCTCTCTTCACCCCAGGACACTGTTAGGAGACCACAGTGGTTGTCTCCTGTGGTTCCCATGGTCCCTCTGGGGCCCTGAGGAAGCCCAGGGTGGCCAGGTGGGACTTGCATGGCATGGGCTTGGGCAGAGGCCGACTGGTCTGCTTGGAGGGGAACACTGAGGACTGCCCCCTGGCCCAAGCCATGCCCTGGGCCTCGACACCTCCTTCCAGTTGCCCAGGGCAACTGGGAAGTTGCAGTTCCCAGGTGAGGATGGCAGTTTACCCGCAGCTGTATTTCTGTTATAGACACGGATGCTTCAGGGCTGAGGCCTAGTTGTGTTAGTGGGTTAACTGAGTTGGTTGAGCCTAGGGTTGGGGGGAGGAAAGGGAAGAAGAGGAAGGATAAAGTGGAGGAGAACAAAGGGTCAGGAAGAAAAGTGGGGAGTAGAAGTCACAGGATCGAAGCACAGAGACGTCAGATCCCACAGAGCCAGGCTGAGAGGGGACACAGGCAGCACTGATCCACAGTGACACCTGAGTCACCTCTCCAGGTGACACTTCGGATGACGAGACATATGAGTTCCCAACACTCAGAGCCACGGTGCTCCCAACAGCCTCCCAGGCCAAATCGCACAGGAGGGTATTTACGGAGGAAGTCTTTGAGAGCCTTGACTCATTTTGGATAGTTTGTGAGGGTTTTTTCAGCCCTGTGTGTTTTTGAGAAAGCAGCACAATAGTCAGGCTGACAGCATCTGGTGTTAATGAGAACACTACAAACGTTTCCACGTCGAGTCAGGCCAAAGCATTATTTTACGATATTACTTAATCATTTCTTCCGGCATTCACCTAATCAGTACAAATGTCAAGCAAATGTTCAAAATGAAAGACACCAATGTATTAAGAATAAATGAATTTATGGTAATGATAATAATAACAACCACCCCCCAGTCAGGCTAAGTACACAAGGTTCTGGATTTCGTCCAGGGGCTTCCACAGGGCAAGGAATGTTTCTGCTGTTCACTTCCACAGCTGAGCTGGCCAGCGGCCATCACAGGCAGCTTTGTTTATTTGGTTTTCACTTTTCAGCATGAAATACAGTCCTGTCTTGCTTCTCCTCCCTCTGGGGCTCTCTGAATGTTTCTAACTAGAATCCTTTCTGCTAATTTGCAAAAAAGACTCCCTCCCCTGGAACTGGTGATGCCGAGAAACACTGCTGGGGGTGTGAGGGTCTGTGTGGACTGCAGCTCTGCTTGGTCAGGTCATAAATCAAGAGAGTTTCTAAGTTCAAACTTTCCTGCTCAGTAAGTTTTATGTCGGGATAGCGCTAATTTGTTTTTTGAGCTCAGTGTGATTTGCTTGTAAACCTAGCGGACTGCTTTAGCTGGGGAATGCGTGCACAGTCTGCCTCGTCGTCACAGCCACATTAGGAGGTTCGTGGGCACATCGGCGTTTCTGTGTACTCAAGATGTCAGCAAGCTTTCCCCTGTGCAGGGCGCCGGTCAGAGGGCTGACTCCAGGCCTGTGCCTACACAGGGGCTCCTTATGCCCACCCTGACCCAGCACGACACTGGGGGGGATGGGGAAGACAGATCAAATGCAATACACCTAATAAATGAATAAGCCCATTATATACTACATTAGAAAGTGAACTGCTGAGGAAAAGAGAAAAGTAAAGCAGGGATAAAAGGTGTTGGATGTTTTTGGGTGTGGGGAGGGACTTTATAGATCAGGATAGAACGGCCAGAGTTTCTTTAAAAATTAAACATGCAACCAGTATCCACCCAGCAATTGTACTCTCAGGCATTTCTCTTAGAGAAATGAAAACTTGTGTCCACACAAAAACCTATACATGAATTTCCATAGCAGCTCTTCTTGTAATAGTCCTAAACTGGAAATAACCCAGCTGTCCTTCATCGGGTGAATGATCAAACGAACTGGCACCTTCTCGCCGTGGAACTACTGCTCAGCAAAGAAAAGGAACAACCCATTGATATCCCCAACGACCTGGAGGAGTCTCCAGAGAATTATTCCGGGTGAAAAAGTCAATCCCGAAAGGTTACATACTATATGATTCCGTTTAAAGAACATTATTGAAATGACAAAGTTATAGAAATGGAGCACAGATGAGTGGTTGCCGGGGATCTGGAGGGGATGGGACTGGAGGGGAGTGTGTGTGGCTATGAAAGTGACAGTAGGAGGGTCCTTGTGGGGATGGAAATGTTCTGTATCTTGACTGTGTCGATGTCTGCGTCCTGGTTGTGCTATTGTGTTGTAGGTTTGTAAGATGTCACCATTGCAGGTGAACACTGTAAAGGACACGGGACATCTTTCTGTATTATTTCTTGTACCTATGGGTGAATCTGCAGTTGTCTCACAATAAAAAGTTTAATTTAAAAAATAGGGTGGTAAAAAAAAAAAAAAAAAAAAAAAAAAAAAAATAGGGTGGTCCAGGTGGGCCCACTGAGAAGTTGACATTTGAGCTAGGACTTGACTGGAGAGATGCATTTATCTGGGTGGACACTGTCGCCAGCAGAGGCCCTACTGTAGAAGAGCACGCAGCATGCTCAAGGGGGGCCGCACCAAGGGACAGGATGAGCGTGGAGGAGGGCACAGGAGGTGAGTCCGAGGGGGAGCTGGGGCCTGCTGGGCACGGTGAGGTCCTGGGCTTTCGCTCTTGGTGGTCAGGGTAGGTACAGATGGTTCTGAGCAGCAGAGTGATACGGGCCAACTTCCCTTGTAACAGACCTCTCTGGCTGCTGAGTGGAGCCAGACTGTAGGGGCCCAGGCAGGAGCAAGGAGGTGGTGAGGGGGCTGCTGCAGGCACTCCGGATGACCCCTGGTGTCTCCCCAACCCTGGCAGGCCCTGTCTGTGACTCTCCTGGGTATGTGTGCACGCAGATCTTTGGTAACGTGCGCAGGAGCTTCTTAGTCCCCCAAACCCCCGTCTACACTGGGGACCCACAGAGAGCACATCACACAGCTGAGGATGAGGGTCACGAAGGTAAAGATGAGGGGCTGCCTAAGGACAGGAACCTCAAGCTGCAACCTACTCATTGAGCCTCGGGGCCTGCGGGAGGCAGCTCTGGAGCCTAGTGGTTTAGAACAGTCAAAACAAAAACGCCCTTGGTGGTGTCCAGTTGTCTGCATGTATGTCACTATTCCTTCCAAGTAGGAATGCATTCCACAGGAGGTTTTGAGCACCTAATATGTGCTGGGGACCGGTGCCCAGTACCAGGGGTACAGTGGGGGATAAAGCTGGCATAGCTTTTATACTCACCATGGCAAAAAACAAGTGAGCAGATGAATAAGTAAGATAGTGACAAATCATATTGAAGGTTATGAAGCAAGAAAAGAATGTGGGAGGATGTGTATTGTATGGGGAGGGGGACAATAGTGCCCCCTTAGGTAAGAAGGTGACACTTGAGTTGAGACATACAGTAGGATTAGGAGCCCAGTTAGAGTCCCCAGCAGAGGGAGCAGCCTGTGTGAAGGCCCTGAACCAGGGAGGTGGGACAGGGTCCAGAGATGCAGTCATGCCCCAGCATCACAACATTCAGCCCAGTCCCTGCTTGGCCTCCCCCAAGGACAGCACTCTGTATCCCGGACACCAGCCTCACACTCCTGCCATTTCTCTACGCAGGCTGTCAACTAGGCCTGGCTTCAATAGTGCCCAAGAAACAGCTGTGATTTCACAGTGAGCATGAAGATACTCTCCTCTGTAACATACCAGATGCTGGTAAGTGTGAGAAATTGTGGGAATAATAAAAAGACAGTCTTTTTAAAAATCCAAGTCTGTAAAATGAGCCTGCTTCCCAAAGCCACTGACCCACACGTGGCATGACCATGTGGCCCAGAAGAGGACCTGGCAGCTGGGCTGGTGTCCCAGGCTGGGAACAGAGGTGGGAACTGTGAAGACAGAGAGAAGCAAATTTGACAAAGTACACATACCATGCTTATCAGTTTCCTAGGGCTGCTGCAACGAAGTACCCAAACTGGGTGGCTTAAAACAACAGAACGTCCTTTTCTCACAGTTCTGGAGGCTAGAAGTCTGGAATCAAGTTGTCAGCATGGGCCTGTTCTCTCTGAAGTCTCTAGGGGTGGATCTCCCCTTGCTTCTCCCAGATTCTCATAGCCCCAAGCGTTCCTTGGCTCACGGTAGCTTCACTCTGCCTCCATCTTCACGTGGCTGTCTTCCCTCTGTGTGTCTGTGTGTCCTGTGCCTTCACATGGTGTTCTCCCTGTGTGTCTGTCTTCACATCGTCTTCCAGTCATATTTGGATTAGGGCCCACCTTAATGACCTCATCCTAACTAATTACTTCCACAATGACTCTACTTCCAAATAAGGTCACATTCTGAGGTACTTGGAGTTAGGACTTTAACATAACTTTGGGGGGCACACATTTAACCCACAATGCAATGCTATGCCAGGAAAGGAAGAGAGCTTAGAAAGGACTGGGCAGCCATAGAACTGAGTCGCAGATCTTGCACCATAGATGCCGTTCTGAGCTAACGTCCACACCCTGGATCTGCTGACTCTGAATCACTCCCACTAATATCCTTAAAAATACGCTTTACTCTGAGTGCTTCTGTTGCATGATTTCAAATGAAAAGAATTTTTATGCTCCTAAGGCTAGGGCATTTTTGTTAGTGGTGCAGTCATGGTCATGCAGGCCTGAATGACTGGTCTTCTCCCTGTCCCTCACCCCATGGCAATCACACTGGCCAACTGGGCAGTCAGTGGGGTAGATAAGGCCAGGCCAGGTCATGGAAGACCCAGGACCTGGACTAGCTTGGGTAGGCAGTAGGGAGCCATCCAGCCCTGAGCAGATGTCCCCTTACCCTCCTCATGGATGACTCTTTGCCCTGCTTCCAGGATCCTGGAATGTCTCAGTCCCCTCTGGGGACCATGTGGCCTCTGAGACCAGGGCTGGATGTCCTCCCGATCCTGCAGCCCCTCTTCCCATGTCCCCATCCAGAGCAGGGGCAAGAGGAATGGGCTGAAAAGGAGGAGAGCTAGAAAGAACCCAGGGAAGGTGGTCTGGCTGAGCACCTGACATGGCCACAATCCTGGTCTACAGGCAGACTTCTACGTTCTCCTGATGCCATAGACATTGTAGCTGAATCCATTTAAAAGAGGGTGGCAAGTATGTAAATCGTGACCGCCCTGCCCCCACAAGACACCAGGAAAATATTTATATTATGCCTCAACCAAGACAGGAATACACTTGGAATTCTTCAATTTAGACTCCAGTTCATTCATATGCTAGTTGCTAAATTAAAAGTTTGAAATAATTTCCTGCTGTAAAAATATGAGACTCTTGCTATTCAGATAGAATTTTTAATCCAAGACTTGAAAACTTAGGAATTATTTCAAAATGCCTTTTGAAAAGTTTTTCTGTTCCTGATCATAAAATGTCAAAGTCACATTATTGTGAACTACAATTTTTCTACATTTGATCTTAGCCAAAAGGCTGAGAAATGATTCCATTGTTCTAAATTTAGCTTTACGTATTAGTACTCATTTATAGCTAAAATGATAATATAACATGCTTAAAATAATAAAATGCATTTCTTTAAAAATATATTGTATGTGGCTGGACTTGCAGCTATAAAGGAGTAGAGATCAACAAATCCTCCCCACTAAAATCAACCATAAAACTGGACATAGTTGCAAAAAAAAAATCATTTCAGGGCTCTGGAAATTGACCACAGGCAAACAACAAATTGAGAAACATGTAATCATGAAAAACTGTGGGGATACAGGTAAAAATAGTGGGGATATGTGGCTTTCTTGGCTGGGACTGACTCCATCCTCCATCTCAGCCCAGTCAACCTGTTCATCCAGGATAAGACTGGCCTTCACTTGATCTAGAGTGAAGAGTGGAAACCCACAGCCAGCAGCAAATGGGAAAAGTCTGCAGATCTCCTAGCCTGAAGTTGCAATCCTGGTTGGGATGAGCAGTATAAGACTGGCCAGAAATTGAATAGGGGGATCCTGGAAATGAGATAGCCACTGAGATCTTGATAAGCATTTGACATAACCCTGGCTGTCTGGGAGCCTGTGCGCATGCACAGTGGAGACCCGAGAGGGCCTGGTGTTAAAGTGACAGCTAGGGCAGAGTTGAAAACTGCCAAATTTGAATACATCCCCCAATTCAAACACAGATCCACCAGCAGAGGGTGGTGTTTAAGCACAACTTCTGACCGATCACTGAGTGACTTAAGCTATGCAAACACAGAGATGACCGCAAAGAAGCCAGGCCCCCACAGAAAAAATACAAATAAGAATTGAAAAAGAAAAAAAAAAAAAACTGAGCAGCAGATGCATACTTCAGGGTGACTGATTCTGCAGATCAAGTCCAGGCAAGTTACAAACAAACAAAAATCAGTAACAGCTAAGAATTTCAGAAGATAAAAGGAAAACAGAATCTAGATTTGTTATATTATCTATAATATCCAATATTGAACAAAAATTTACATGTCATGCAAAATAACAAGAAAGTGTGACATACTTGGGGTCGGGGGGAATGTCAATGGAAACTGTCTTTGAGTGGCACAGATGTTGGATTTAACAGACAAAGACTTCAAAGCTATTTGAAATATTTCAAAAAACTAAAGGAAACCATGTTTTAGAAATTTCAGGAAAATATTATTAAAATGACTCAACAAGTAGGAATATCAACAAAAAATAGAATTTTTTTTAAAAAAAGGGCCAAAATGGAAATGCTAGGGTTGAAAAATACAATAACAAAATGAAAACTTTATTATATGGGATCAGCAGTAGATTCGAAACATCAGAAGAAACCAGTGAATTTGAAGACAGATCAATAGAATGTTATCCAATCTGAAAAACAAAGAGAAAAAAGACTGAAGAAAAGAGAACAATCTCAGAGACCTGTGGGACAACATCAAGCATACCAACTGCAAAATGGGAGTCCTGGAATAAGAGGAGAAAGAAAAAGAGCAGAAAAAAAAAATTGAAGAAATAAAGGCTGAAAACCTCTCAAATTTGATGAAAGCATTAATTCATAGATCCCAAAATGCCCATGAACCCCAAGTAGGAAAAACACAAAGAGATCTTCACTTAGTCATATCAAACTCTTCAAAGAAAAAAACAAAGAGGAAATCTTGAAAATAGCAAAAGAAAAACTAATCATATGTAAGGGAACAACAATACAAATAATGGCTAAATCTCATCAGAAACAATACAGGCCAGAAAGCAGTGGAATGACATATTCAAAGTGCTGAAAGAAAAAACTGTTAGCCAAGAATTCCATATCCAGCAAAACTACCCTTCAAAAGTGAAAGTGAAATAAAGATATTCTTAGGTATGCAAAGACTGCTATAAAGTGCTGCTAACAGACATACCTTACAAAAAATACTAAAAGTCCTTCGGGAGGAAAGAAACTTACTTCAATTGGTAACTTGAATCCACAAGAAGAAATGGAGACTAGAAATGGTAAAAATATGGGTAATTATAAAAGACTTAATGAATATATATTTTTCTCCTATTATTTCTTTAAATGGTGTAAGATTATATAAAGCAAGTATATTTTGGAATTTATAACATATATAGTTGTAGTAATATACATGACACTAACAGCACAAAAGTGACATAGGAATAAAATGAAACTATATTGAAACAAAGTTGCTATATTTTACTAGATTAAAATATGAGATACGTTGTAATATGTTAAAATGCACATTGTGTTTCCTAGAGCAAACACTAAGACAGTAACTCAAAAGTATACTTTAAAAAATCAACCAAGGAATTAAAATACTATACAAAATTATTTGTTTAACACAAAAGAAGGGAGTAAGAAGGAATAAAAAAGACATGAGGCATATAGAAAACAAATAGCAAAATAACACATATAAATCCAACCATATTAATAATTACATTAAAAATAAATATTCCAGTCAAAAGTCAGAGATAGTTAGACTGAATAAAAAAATGAAATCCAACCGTATGTTGTCTACAACAGAGTTTCCCAACCCCTGGGCCATGGACCGGTACGGGTCCGTGGCCGGTTAGGAACGGGGCCACACAGCAGGAGGTGAGGGGCGGGCGAGTGAGCGAAGCTTCATCTGTATTTGCAGCTGCTCCCCATCGCTCGCATTACTGCCTGAGCTCCACCTCCTGTCAGATCAGCGGCAGCATTAGATTCTCATAGGAGCGCGAACCCTACTGTGAACTGCGCATGCGAGCGATCTAGGTTGCATGCTCCTTGTGAGAATCTGATGCCTGATGATCTGAGGTGGAGCTGAAGCGGTGATGCTAGTGCTGAGGAGCGGCTGCAAATACAGATTATCATTAGCAGAGAGGTTTGACTGCACAGAGACCATAATAAATCAACTGCTTGCAGACTCATATCAAAACCCTATCAGTGAGTGGCAAGTGAAAACAAGCTCAGGGCTCCCACTGATTCTGCATTATGGTGAGTTGTATAATTATTTCATTATATATTACAATGTAATAATAATAGAAATAAAGTGCACAATAAAGGTAATGCGCTTGAATCATCCCAAAACCATCCCCCCGGCCCCAGCCCATCGAAAAACTGTCTTCCACAAAACGGTCCCTGGTGCCAAAAAGGTTGGGGACCACTGGTCTACAAGACACACGCTTTCAATTCAAAGACACAAATAGATTGAAAGCAAAAGGATATCTGTTCTCACCTATTCAGCATAATACTGAAGGTTCTAGCCAGTACAAAGAAACAAGAAAGATCAACCAAATGCATTATATGCAAATTGGAAAAGAAAAACTGTTTTTATCCACAGACAGCACAACCCAGCATGTAGAAAATCTCAGGGTAAAAGATCGATATAAAATATATCAATTTTTCCTACAAACTCACAATGAAAAGTCCAAAAACACAGTTAAGAAAATCCCATTCACAATAGCATCCAAAAGAATAAAATACTTAGGAGTAAATTTAACTCGAGAAGTGCAAGACTTGTAAACTAAAAAGAGAATTTTAAGAGAATACAGGACAATTTAAAGATATAAATAGAGATATATTCCATCTTCATGGATTGAAAGAAACAGTATTATTAAGATGGCAGTTCTCCCCAGATTGGCCAACAGAATCATTATCTAAATCTCAGCAGAATTTCTTATAGCAACTGACAAGCCAATCAGTTGCCTTGTATATGAGAATGCAAAGGACATAGAATAGTCAAAACAATTTTTTAAAAGGAGAACAAACTTGAAGGACTCACACTACCTGATTTCAAAACTTACTACAGGGCTTCCCTAGTGGCGCAGTGGTTGAGAGT